TTGAAGGTTGGGACGGACGGGACATAGGACGCAACAGCAGCCCTCAGAGCAGTTGTTCTGCAGGTTTGACGGATGAAACAGTTTCACAGATGTCTCACCCAACCACAAATCCAGCTGCCTGTCCTCCTCTGACCATCTTTGATTGTCTTTGAAAAGCTTCAATTAACAATTCTGCTGTTAATTCGTGAATTTTGGTCATTCCGAGGGTTTGTACGACTTAATTTTCGAATTTTTTGCGTATTAATGTGCGAATCGTGATATCCTAGATCGGGTACCCGCCACCCGGCCAGAGTAAGCTATTTTGCCAGTTTTCGGGTCGACTGGCGTCGTTTTGTCGCCGACATGGTGACCACCCGCCCGGCGACAGAATTCGCCGAGGGGTTGCTGCCGCGGACGGCTTTGCTTTTTAAGTCCTCTCAAGTGTTATTATGTTTAAAAAAACGTATAATTGTGCAATGCTGGTGCTGAGACCGCTACGAATCCCTTCTCCGCCAGTCCAGCGAAAATAATCACAAACGCTTTCCCTGGCAGCTCCAAATTGAGCTATTTGCCCATTTCGGTCTTGTGCAGCGTATGGTGTCTGCACCATTTTAAGTCGAGAGGTGTTTAAGACCTTCCAGGTCATTGTTCAAAGTTAGGTCACTTTTGGTAGATGGGGCGACAACAAACACGACCAATTATGTTCCATGACAGCCCGTACTCATAAAAATGCTCCACTGACGGTCAAAATTGTAAGAAAATACATGTTCGCGTAATTACTTTCCACCCTGTAGGCATTGAATCGCGGCACGATATTCGTCATTGTGCACCCCACTCCGTCATAGTGCAGTTACAAGCGGCCCAGGTCCAGACATATTAGACTTGTGCAAATAAGTCGTCATCAGTAGCGGCGGAACACCTTCAATTAACCCGCGCCCGGCTGGGGGTCCTGGATTTCCACGCCCTGCCCGGGGGGGGGGGGGGGTGTTTGAACACCCCCCCCCCTTGTAACTCGGCTCCTGGGCCACGTAAGGATACGCGGAAGGCGGCGTTCGAAAGAGCGTCAAAAATAATGACGAAATCACTTCCGTCAATTTTTTGTTCAGGTCAAAGGTCAGGTCACCAGAGGTCATTGAAGGCAAAATTTCGCCGATTTCCAGGTCGAATGTCGAAAATTTCCAAGAAGCCAACGCATAACTCGGGAACCAATAGAGCTAAAGCGCCGCGAAAAAGCGCATTCGATAGCCCTATTAACCCTCGCCCGCACATGGGGGGGGGGGGGTGGTTGCCACCCCCCCAGGCAGTCTTTCTGCTCTGCACTCAACATTTTTAGAGCTAGAAGGCTGATTTTTCGTATAGCTGCTCGTCTATCCTTTCTTGATGTCCACTGAAAATTTCAAGTTTCTGTGATTTTTGGTTTCGGAGATATGACCTTGTTTTTCAGGTCATGTCATGACCCAAATGGCCAATTCTCAACATCTTGCGTTTGCCATGGGCCTTGTGAGCTTTTGACACCCTGATTTCGGCCTTTTTTGCCAGTCTTACCTCCCACCTATCATGGAACATGTTGTTCGACGATGTACAGGGGTCAAGGTCAGGGTCAAGGTCAACCTAGGTCATCTAAGATAATTGCGTTTCAGGCAAGCTGAATTTACTTTTTGTGAAGTTTTTTGACTGCATTTTTGGTAAAAGCTTCTCAGATCATGATTTCATGTGATATGGACCCAAAAACAATCGGTGCACACATCAGTATACACACAGACACACACAGACATACAAACACATATAGTTGACCTTGACCTAACTTGACCTGAAATGACCTCAGCATCAAAATTCTGGTCGGATAGTGTGACAAAGAGGTTCTAGCTGGCTTGGCACCAGAAAACAGCATCGTCATCGGTATTTGATAAGCAGCGCACTTGATATCCAACGGGGACCCAAAACCGCAACATTTTTTAGTTTGACCTGACCTGGAAGGTCAATGACTGACCTGAGAAGGTAAAACTGGGTATCATTGGATTTGTCTCTTCCCAAAGAATCTTTTTGGTCTTTACTGCTAAGCTCTATCTCCAACAGGAACGAAATGGCGCGGGGGGGGGGTGGCAACCCCCCCCCATGTGCGTTCTAGGATGGGAAAATGGCATGTGCGGGCGGGGGTTAACGCCCTTTCTGAGTAATACTCTCAGATTTGACCTAACGTCAACGGTTTTGTCTGCAGGGGGCAAAAACTGCAAAAATAGCCGATTTTTTTCGGAAACAGTTTTTCTGCAATAACTTTTGACCCAAGTCTTGTACGAGCTTACTTTCACCGGCATCGTGTTCCTCTCGTCCAGACGCATCGAATGAACTATAACTTGACCTTGAATGGTCAACTTGAAAATTTGACCTCAGGTCAAGGTCATGACCTGACCGGAAAGGGTCATGTTGCATATCAGTCGATCCGTATCGTCGAGCTGAACACATCTACGGCGTTTTCATCGCTCTAGCATGCCTCTATCAAAAGTTATTTGCGAAAAACTGTTAGATACCATTCGTGACCTAAGATGACCTCAGGGCATAAACAAGGGTCACGGACACCATTTTCATGTTCAGTGTGTCTAAACCACTTGTAATGTGGTGTTTGGGAGTGTTTATAATGTCTTTCGTCCAAAAGAGGCGCATTTCATTTTTTTTTTTTTGAATGAAATATGTATCAATTATCCATGAAAACAAGGTTACGTTGTCTGTTACCTTTACAAAGTAAGCAATCAGACAGCAGAATATAATGTGCGATATTAATGGAATGCATCGTCATGTCATATTACTGTCCCTTATCGTAGGAAAGCTCCCCAGATACTGCGTTTAATACAAAGTTCACTTAGACTAGATGGTCAGCTTAGGACGGTGAAATTGTATGCTGTGTGATTTTGTGAGCTTTGAGTTTGGATTTAAGCACGGGAGACAACAGATTCTCAATGATGTCACACCAAATACTTATATCTACGAAAATGCGCATGATAGATAGATAGATAGATAGTTTATTGACACTGCACTCTTGATAAAATACACACAATACATAAAATACAAAATTCTATACATAATGCAATACACTAAAAATATACATAAAAAGGATAAAACTCGAGTGAAAACGTGTCCATTAAAATAACAAAATACAATATGAGCACCGCGGACATGGCGAAGCACAATCTAAATACATATTATGAATCATACTTTTCAAGAATGTTCTTACATAGCCTTGCGAGATCTAAAGGGTGTGCATCCATAAGGACAGTTAGACCGGAAAAATTTAATCTGGGGAAATGTTCTCGAAGTGAATTTGATTCTGGGCAGTCTAAAAGTACATGTTTCTCTGTTTGCACTGACCCGCACGTGCACAGCCTTTCTGTCTCTGGTATGCGCGACCACCTCCCCGTTTCTATTTTTAACCTGTGTGAACCTAAACGGATTCTTGTAAAAGCGATGCGCTCGTTTTCAGGTACATTTGCCTCATACATACGGTGTCGCGCGACATTCTGATTAAACTCACGGTATGTTGTCATTCGCGTCGATGTTGATTCTAAAATTTTACAGCGTAAGGTTTCCATGTTTCTTTCTCTAAGTGACCCGATTTCTTCCGTTTGTAGGGAGTTGACATAACGGCCAGCTTGTGAGCCCGACGGCACTGATAAATGCATGGCTAACTGGGCGGGACTGCCCTCGAAATCATCTCGTGATGTCAGCTTTCCTAGAAATTTAATTTGGTTCTCTTTAACCACTGTCTTTAAGTCTGGGTATCCCAACTCTGCGTGAACAAGGTCACTGCTTGTCTGATTCCTGACTGACAATAGCTGTTTTTCCGCGGACAATACCGCCGTCGAGGCATGCTTAAAATCGTTGCAAAGCCAGCTTTCACAGCCATACAGTATTGCACTACAGAGAGCACTTTTGAATACCATCTCCTTGACAGGAAATGGCGCGTCTTTGTTTTTCTTTAAAAACGCGGAAAATTTCACTAAATGACTGCGCTTAAAATCTATGTGGGCTTTGACTTGATTACGCAAAGTTGCATTGCTGATTGGTGTTCCAAGATAAATGTACTCATCTGTGTGACTGATGGATACGTTATCGAAAACAAAAGGAACAGTGTCCCCTGCGTTAATCGCCATAAACTTTGACTTCTGCGGGTGTATTTCCATTCTAATGGTGCCAACTTCGCGGTGCAATAGTGCTAGCTTTTGTTTCATGGCATCTCTGGATGTGGCTAAGACAACTGTATCGTCCATGAATAGCAGCGAATGGGTGTTACTGAGAAAACCGTCAGGTCCAAACGTCTTTATGGCTCTGACCGTACTGTTGATATAGAAAGTGAAAAGGGAACAGCTGTTTGCTGCGCCTTGTTTTACCCCAACCGAAGACGTAAATAAACCTTGCCCTAAGGCATTTTTGCTAGCCTGCAGACTGTTAGCCACTGCTGTTAGATATTTCATGCCGGACATACAGGATACAGGACAAGAAAGGAACATTAAACCCACGATTCGCTAAATAACTACGCTAATCAACGCTACATCCATATTGAGTTGCGGTGTGCGCCTGGTGGCGGCCGGACGTGTGGGCGGGGCGCTCCGCGCACGCGCTCGCTGTGTGAGACGGGGTCCGCGAGTACCGTGCTTACAATGGACGTTAAGTGATTTTCTGATAGACAAATCGCAATGTTGCGTGTGCTCCAGCTGTGCTGTTTTTCAAGTGAGGGAATGGCGCCACCAGGAGGAAGAGGAAGAGGCCTCATACAACAAAGGATTCAGGAACTGCAGCCAAGGAGCGCAAGCCCTCAGAAAAGGCGCCGGAAAACGTCGGGTGAGTCAGCTGACACTGGAGTGTCTGAGCTAAAAGAATTGCTTGAACGGCAGATGGCAGATTTTTCTAAGCTGAGGGATGAATTTCAAGGCATCGCAGATATGATGAAAACGGAGTTGAGATCGCTCAAGGAGAGGATAAGAGACCTAGAAGAGCACACAAACAGGAAGGACGAGGAATTAGAAAGCATGAATGCGAGGTTAAAAGCATCAGAGAAAATGTGCCATGCACTTCAAGAGCAAGTACATGCAAATGAAGTCATCTCTCGGCTGCCCACCCTCATCCTCTCCGGGCCGGCGGTTACAAAATCTGCACCTCCACGAAGGGCGGCGCGGCCGGTGACCGGACCGCAGGCGGGCGGGGACGCCGCGCATGCGCTATCGCCGGGCCATCCCAGCCAGACGCCCGCCGCGGGCGCTTGCTGGCGCTCGCCGGCCGGCGGGGCGGGGTCCGGGGGTACATGATCAGCTGATGGGGCGGGGCAGGCGGGAGAGGCCGCGACCGAGGAGTCAGCTGACGGTCGACAGGGCCGGCCCGGCAGCTACGCGGGGGCGGTGATCGACGTGTCGACGCAGCTGGACAGCAACGTCGTCCAAGCGGCGGAGACACCGACGAACCACCAGCAACCAGAAGACGTGGAGGCGACGGTGGTGACGCTGCTCAACTCGACGTTTCCTGGACTGAACATGCAGACCAGCGACATCGACAGAGCACACCGTTCCACACAGTCGCTATCTGGGTTCAGAAGTGGCCAATACCCTAATTTTCGACAAATTTTAAAGCGTGATTTTCTCACATTTCCTGGTCGTAAATTGATCAGACTGTATAAAATCTCATCCAGAAAAAATATTACTCATTCTGGCACAGATTGGTGGGCTCCCAAAGTACACCGTTCTGTTTTGCTCCGTGAGACCGAACTTGTGCTGCGATTTTCATGTAAATGTTGACGAGTCTCCTGTCATATTCTTTGCTTGAACATGCGTAAGTAAGATATCAGCTGAAAGGGGAAAATGTGCGGAATCCATTGATAGCAAAAGTGCATCTAAAAAACTTCCCACTCAGTTATTGTAAGCTAATTATTGCACACTTGCACAAAGCAGAAGGGCTTGAGGATTTCAATATTTACATAGGCCTACCAAAAAACGCACAGCGTGCTTCACATCGAGACAACGTACATAACATATACCGTACAATTGTGATTCATTTGCTGAAAAAATTAGGTCGGCATCACACTGCCGGCAAAAGTTATTGCAGTTTTAGTGACGCTAGGTCGCCGCCCGGCCGACCCCGATCAGGTCGGCCGGGCGGCGGCCGTGCAGCTGACGTCCGTGCGGTTCTGCAGCTGACCAATCAGCTGCGAGAGAGGAGCGCGGTCCGTCTAATCGCTCCCAGCAGTTGCTTGTGCTGAGGGGTGCTCGACGCTCGTGTCGATTGCATTTGTTGGTTGTCGATTGTCGATTGACTTGTGGGTATACTCTACTACACCTTTTTGCACTCAAAATAGGCATCTTTTCATTCAATTTCGGCGAATTGCATTCAATTTTAGCGATCTCTCATTTGCTTCGAATAGAGAGATCGCTAAAATTGAATGCAATTCGCCGAAATTGAATGAAAAGATGTCTATTTTGAGTGCAAAAAGGTGTATTTACTATTTATATACTATTATTACTATTTATATACTATTACTACTATTTCGGTACCACGGTACTATTTATAGTCACCGTGGGTATACTTTCTGGTGACCAATAAATGTACGTCGTCTTAACTGAATGTAATCTGATCAAATTCAATAAAGCAAAAAGACATCCAGCCAACAGAACATCGTAAGAATGTCCGATATGGTTGATAAGATTCAGAGTTTTGGGGAGCAGCCATCGACCAGAATGAACCTTATTGGTTTTTGTATGTAACATTTGCATTGCTTTTGGAAAGTTTCAGTCAGATATCTTCAGAAATGGCTATGTTATCGGCTTTTGCATTTTACCGTAGTCGGTTAATCATAATTTTCGATATTGCAAAGGCAATTTCAGTACGTTCTTGACATCGAAAACCAAAACGAATAGCATCATCGTGTTCCAGAGCTCAAATTGCATCCGATGCACATCTTTTTTGTTGAGAATGTTCAACTTCAAAATTTTGCCTCTCTGACCTCGCCGTGACCTGACCTTCATTTGTCGAATGGAAATAGTTTCGAATCGGACGACCCAGATGAAATCATTTTTAGATGCTTTTGCCGAAATGGACCATTAAAGATGTGTCGCATGACCTTAAAAATGTATACATTTCCTTCCATGACCTTTTCCATGACCTTTTGTGACCCATGACCTTTCCATGACCTTTTGTGACAAAGTTAGGTTTCGTTTGTCAGCTATTCCTATCAGAAGCCGTTTGAACTTTTATTATTGAACGAGTAGTTTCGGAGACAGCAGGGAAGCTATGCAGAATCCCCTCCCGAGTCACCCACGTTATGGGATATACCCGTCATCCGCAAATTACGAGCAAAAATATTTTTTTTTACGGCAATGATGTATCAGCATGGATGCTCATACGTTCCCATATGTGACCTTACGGTTGACTTCACATACAATAAAAATTGCTTGGCAAAATGTCAACTGGTTAACGGGTTATCGCATTTTGGCCACTTCCGAACTCAAATAGCGGCTGTGTGCGTTCGCGGGACAAGATCTGGTGTCGCTTTGTCAAGTCAGGTACGGGCTCAGTGCGGGACGGTATATAGCGGTAGGCTGAATCTCCGTCACAACAGTCGTGGTAGTGAGTTATACGTGTCAGAGTCACTCACACACTACCGACAGGAGATTTTCATGGAATGTTTGTCTCTGAAAAAGCAGCAGAAAATTTACACGACGTTTACACGTCAGGGTTCGATCTTTCTGAAGGAGAAAAGGCATGGGTACAATGTGCGAGTGGATGACTGGGAAACGCTACGAGGGCTTAACCCTCGCCCGCACATGCCATTTTCCCATCCTAGAACGCACATGGGGGGGGGGGGGGGGTTGCCACCCCCCGCGCCGTTTCGTTCCTGTTGGAGATAGAGCTTAGCGGTAAAGACCAAAAAGATTCTTTGGGAAGAGACGAATCCAATGATACCCGATTTTACCTTCTCAGGTCAGTCATTGACCTTCCAGGTCAGGTCAAACTAAAAAATGTTGCTGTTTTGGGTCACCGTTGGATATCAAGTGCGCTGCTTATCATATAGGGGAGAGTGGGGTAAGATGCCCAGGGTGGGAAAGACGCCCCACCCCCTCTAGCGGGGAAACAAAGAATCGAACCTGGAAATTAATGTTCTTAGCGTAAAGCGGAAGCCTGCCTTGTTAACTGCACAAAAATTTGCGAAGCTCAGTTGGGCAACGGCTGGCTGGTGATTGCATGTTTTTTATTTGCTGCTTTCAAAAAATATTTTGGCGTCAAAACATTGTAAATATCAAAGAAGGTAGACAATTTTTGCGTCCCTTGCTATAGTCGTGATACATTGACATGCGTGTACTGTGTCCCAAACAGTTTGTTTCAGGGTGTAGTTTTATGGCTAACAAATTGTGCTGATTTAATGTTACTTCGGTACCTTGGGGTAAGATGCCCCCTGTCCTGATGGGGAAAGACGCCCCCCTAAATCCATAGGCTGTCCTTCAAGCAGCCCGTCAAATCATTTATTACATACTTGTGATGAGAGACAAAAGCCGATCTGGGAGTATTGAGAGTCCAGTACGGTCGGGTGCTCCCCATGCCGGTCTCTCGACCCACACAGCGACTTTTTGGGCGGCATCTGACTCTGAGAGCCGTCACGACGGCCTCTGTGGGCCCCATTATTGGCTCCAGGGCCCCTCACGACATCCTTTGAGGGCTCCCACGTTGGCTCCACGGGCCGCGCTGGCATCTGAGGTCCCCACGATGGGCTCGAGGGCCCTCAAGCATCATGAAGACCATATAAGGGCCCCACAGTGGTCTCCGAACGCCACCACGGAGGCTTGTTTGGCCGCGCTGGACTATGATGGCCCTAATGATGACCCCTGAAGCCCCTTACGACTACTTTTCAGGGCCCTTACGATGACGTTTGGTGTCTACTGCAGGCTCGAAGGGACTACTGATTCGTTCAGGCGATTCACGTGCCTATTTTTGTCACTTATAGTGCAGGGGGCATCTTACCCAACGCCAGGGGGCGTCTTTTCCACCCTGTGGGGTAAGATGCCCCCTTTCACTTCTTCAGGAAAATGCTTAATAGCAAAAAAATTTATCATGTTTCAGGCACGAAAGAGTGATATTTTTGGAGAAAAATGATGCCGGCTTCCGTTGAAACTCCAAGTTTTGGCTTTCCGATCGTCATTTTCGAATAATATATGACATAGTCAAACCCTGGGCATCTTTCCCCACTCTCCCCTACCGATGACGATGCCGTTTTCTGGTGCCAAGCCAGCTAGAACCTCTTTGTCACACTACCCGACCAGATTTTTGCTGCTGAGGTCATTTCAGGTCAAGTTAGGTCAAGGTCAGTTATATGTGTTTGTATGTCTGTGTGTGTCTGTGTGTATACTGATGTGTGCACCGATTGTTTTTGTGTCCATATTACATGAAATCATGATCTGAGAAGCTTTTACCAAAAATGCAGGCAAAAACTTCACAAAAAGTAAATTCAGCTTGCCTAAAACGCAATTATCTTAGATGACCTAGGTTGACCTTGACCCTGACCTTGACCCCTGTACATCGTCGAACAACATGTTCCATGATAGGTGGAAGGTAAGACTGGCAAAAAAGGCCGAAATCAAGGTGTCAAAAGCTCACAAGGCCCATGGCAAACGCAAGATGTTGAGAATTGGCCATTTGGGTCATGACATGACCTGACAAACAAGGTCATAACTCCGAAACCAAAAATCACAGAAACTTGAAATTTTTAGTGGACATCAAGAAAGGATAGAGGAGCAGCTATACCAAAAATCAGCTCTCTAGCTCTAAAAATGTTGAGTGCAGAGCAGAAAGACTACCTGGGGGGGGGGGGGGGGGTGGCAACCCCCCCCCATATGCGGGCGAGGGTTAAAGGTAGTGTGCCAGCTTTCTTGGACCGTATGGAGTTAATGGCCCAGATAAGGAGAACCGGATTTTTAGAACTTATCCATACCTTCAAAACTCATCGAAACGTCTTAAATTCTTCAAATTTTGAGTACCCCAGTGCGAAATTCGCCCCGACGGGTTGTCGGTCGTACCCCAACCACATTTCACACCACTATGAACAATAAATGCACACACTGAAATCGCTATTACCGATATGCTCATCCAATCAAGTTTCGATAAACCCGTTCATCATCAGCTCCTGCGGTTTCGAACACTCCTGTTAGGTGGTGCGGTAGACCACGCCCAAAGCCAGGACCCCGGTAACGTGAGGTAGCCGAGTCAGGGCAGCGTGCACTGACCCAAGCCGGAGCCGCGCGTCCTCCCGGTGTCATGTGATAGCCCGGGGCTGCCCGCGGGGATGCGGTAGACCGCGCCCAAAGTTGCGGCCCCGGCTTGGGTCAGCGCACGCTGCCCCGACTCGGCTACCTCACGTTACCGGGGCCCTGGCCTTGGGCGCGGCTTCTGCTCATACTTTGTGGTGCGGTGGTGGTGCGTCGGGCTGCGCGCTCTGACTTCGGCCAAGAAAAATGCGTCAGCTGATCATTGTCATTTCTGCCACTTGCGTGTGGTGAAATGGGGTTATAACTTATAAGACGGCTTTTTCATATCAATTATTTTGCATAAAATCATATTTCAAACCATAAATAATGTTCGACAGCCAAATAAAAGAAACAATACCAATACGGGCTTACAGTTTAAGGCTCGACATTGTGTTGTCTACGATTAGACAGCTGATAACTCATCCCCGTACGTCGTATGGTCGTAACACTATAATGACCTTTGCTTATTGTCACAAGTGCGCCGCATTCGCGATTGTTGCCCGACGCCTGTTTGCAGGTGAGCCCACTACAGTTGTTATACATATCTAAAAACCGATAAACTTTTAGGCGAAAAAGGCACTATTCCAGGCCCATTTTTGATTTTTTTTTGCGATATTAGGTAAAAACAGAAGCTTCTTATCCTAGGAAAAATAAAATGGGAAATCTTTCAAAGGTGGCACACTACCTTTAAGCTGTAGCTGTCAGAGCTGTAGCTGTCAGAGTCAGAACGGTACGCCATTGCAGGTGTGGTGCGTGATAGCAGCAATGTATGCCGTTTATATTGTGTTTGTTTGTTTGTTTTTTTGCTCAAAGAGAACCGTGCATTTATTTCCAGTGCCCATGATGAGTGATAGGTGTGCACTATGTCGAGTGTGAACGTTTGTTCGGTCAATTGTAGGGGCATAGGGGAATATCGCAAAAGGAAGGATGTGTTCAATTATCTGAGGAAACTCGATTATAATCTCTTCCTGCTGCAAGATGTGCATTGTGCTCAGGATAGGATAAATTCGTTTAGAAACATGTGGGGATCAGATATCGTTATTGCACCTCATACACATAATGCTAGGGGTTTGGCCATTTTGACAAAAAATAGGGGAGAGTGGGGCAAAGCGGCCACCCGGGGCAAAGCGGCCATCCATCGTTTTAGCCCTCCACAGCTGGCGTCAGTTCCAATTTATGATTTCCAATTATACTTCTCTTTGCGGTCGTTCGAATGAGCCAGACCGGGGTTTCAGGCCCATCGCCATTGTTCTGTGAAACACGGAAAAGCATTTCTTGCCAGGTTACCAATTATGTTTACAATTTTTAAATGTTATTTTATTCCATAACCGTTTGGAATTTTTATAAGCGTTTTTGTCCATGCATTGCGTGGTTATCGTACATGCCTTCTACCAATTTTAATGCTTTTTACCCCACTAATAGCTGAGCTGGAATATTTTGGTCTCGGACGGTATGCGCGGGGCAAAGCGGCCGGGGCAAAGTGGCCAGCCCCCAATTAGCCATAAGTTGTTTCCATCTGGATAAAAACATTATTTATATTCAAATGTGTCGTCATGCATTCATCTTGGCCACTTTTCGGTTACATGAGTTACCAAATTATGCAATTAAATGTTTTTCCAAGAAAATTATTTCTTTGTTTAGCAATAGGTGGGAAGATAACAAAGTAAACATCCATCTTCCCTTAAACCTTGTCACCATCAAACACCCTAGTCGTGCATGAGGCAACTATTCTGTTTCTCATATCGGGACTTGAGAAGTCGCCAGTGGCCGCTTTGCCTCAGGGATGGGGCAAAGTGGCCAATATGCTATAGGTTTAAAGTTTTGTCAATATCTCCCATATGTGAACGCCTTTGGAAATGAAACGCAGTTGGAATAAAAGACAATTTAATAGGGATCACATTGGTATAGAAAGAATCTTTCCAAGTTTAAAAATCAAGCGTCGGCATCGTTAGAAACGTTAGGGTGGCCGCTTTGCCCCACTCTCCCCTATAGATGTTAAATTCGGGACAGTAGTTGCTGACGAATATGGCAACTATTTGATCGTGAAAGTAGAAATTAATCAATCTTTTGAAATGATAATAGCAAATGTATACGGTCCGAACACTGACAGACCCGATTTCTTTGAAACAGTAGAAAACTTTTGTTTTGAACTTGCTGGAGAGAACACGCCAGTACTCATTGCAGGCGATTTAAATGTAGCTCTGGATTGGGAACTCGACACATTTAATTACAGTCGTGAGAATAACGTGAGAGCAAGAACAAAAGTACTTCAGCTTATGCAAGACAATAGCATGCTTGATGTGTTCCGTGAGATGCACAAAGAGGCGAGGAGATATACTTGGAGAGTGAGGAGACCGGCACTCAAACAAGCCAGGCTTGACTACTTTCTAGCATCGGAATATCTGTCCCCATTCATTTTAGAGTGCAACATAGTACCAGGATATCGTACAGACCACTCAATGATAACTATGAAGTTAAACTTGAATGATCAGACGCGTGGGAGAGGGTATTTCAAGTTTAACAAATCGCTTTTGCGGGACTCGGCATACATTGAGAAGATAAAGCGAACCATTAAGCAGACTGTGTTGCAATATGCCTTGCCGGTATACAGCATCGACTTCATCGGCAATAATATGACGGAGATTGAGTTTACTATCAGTGATGCGCAGTTGTGGGAGGTACTTATACTGAATCTGCGAACGGGGACAATCTCTTATAGTATACACAGGAGTCGCCAAATTAGGAAGGAAGAGACGGCACTGATGAATAGAATAGCTGAAGTTGAAGCGGAGTTGTGTACTGACAGTTCTCACGGTAAACTTGATGAGCTAGATGTACTAAAAAATAGGTTAGAAAATATGCGGAAGGAAAAAATCGAAGGGATCATTACCAGAGCAAAGGCTAAATGGTACGAGTGTGGTGAAAAGTCAACTGCGTATTTTTTGGGCTTGGAAAAACGAAATTTCGTTAACAAGTTAATACCTTTCCTTTCGGTTGGGACGGAGAGGGTAACTGAACAAAGTCAGATTATTCAGAGATTGGTAGAACATTTTAGAAATTTATTCAAGGAAAGGCCAGTGAATGAATTGGAAATGGATAGCTTTATAAATACGCTTAGTGTTAAGATAATATCTGAAAAACAGAAGAAGGATTTAAGTGCACCGATAACCATAGATGAGATTAGCTTAACGCTTAAGAAAATGAGCAATGACAAGTCACCAGGCCTAGATGGGTTTCCAGCAGGTTTCTTTAAATTCTTTTGGGCTGATTTAAAACATTTTTACTTCCGTATGGTTCAAGATAGCCTTCAAAATGGTATGTTGCCATTGTCCCTGCGTGAGGGATTAATAACGCTTCTTCCTAAAAATAAAAAGCCAAGGCATCAAATAAATTCATACCGTCCAATTACCTTACTTAACTGTAGTTATAAAATAGTGTCCGGTGCAATAGCGAATAGGCTGAAATCGGTTGTTGGGAGCGTAGTTGGGAGTGAACAAACAGGTTTTATTCAGGGGAGATTTGCTGGTGATAATACTCGACTGACATATGATTTGTTGCAATACTTAAAAGAGAACGGACGGTCGGCGCTTTTTCTTAGCCTTGATGTTGAAGGTGCGTTTAATTCCGTAAATTGGACTGTTACCGCAGCAGCCGCAGAGGGCGCTGGCGAGCCATTGTAGAGGGCATCACCGTCCAGTCATGGCCTCGGTTGTGCCGTGAGATATCAGCTGATCGTTACGTGGCTAACAGATGATCGATGCGCAGAGGTCAAACGGGTCAAGCGGCGCAATGGAGGAATGGTGTTGTAAGTGTCTTTTATTATTATTTATGTTGATTTATGTGTCGTTTTGTATTCATTTAACATCTGCTTATTTTCTGGCTTCTAATATCGACTGTTTTCTTTCAGAATTACGTACGAATATACAGCTACAAACTGACTGTCTCGAACAATCGATCACTGCGCCGAATTAAGACGAGCACAGACAAAGACGCTGTAACAGTAATTAACACCAAATTAACTGTAGCATAGTTATTGATATCGACAATTGTAGCAGTAAATAGGCCTCACACAACTAACCACAAGTAGGGGAAGTATTTTAATTGATAAATCCCAAAACTGATGAAAACTGTAGATTGCAAATGATATGTATTTTAACACTGTCGTGAACCTGATATGACCTTGTCCCTGTGTTCCATTCTTGATTGTGTAGATTTTAGCCAGTAGTGTAGACATTTCATTCCTGAGCTCCCACCTATCCTGTGGCCATGAGTCAGACGAGTGAGAAACTTGAAGACCATGTATCCGAGGATGGCAAAGGCATGGCAATGGGTGCTCCACCAGGTGCTGTTGGTGGAGCAGAACAGGATGATGCTGCATCGGAGGCCAGTCAGGGATCAGGAATGAGCTCTGCGAGTGTGAAGTCTCGGATACAGGTGATGCGGATTTTGGAGCAGCACAAGAAGGCGGAGCTGAGGGCCAAGTTGGCTGCACTGGATGCAAAGCGAGAGCTCCAGAGACAACGTCAAGAGCTCCAATGGAAGGAGGAACAGCTGTCACTGGAGACAGAGTTGGCAGTTCAGTGGGCACAATCAGAGGTGATTGATAAGTTTGAGCGACAGTGTGTCGATGATATGCCAGTGCCCTCTGCACCCCTGCTTTCTGCTCGTGCTGAGCCTTCAGCGGCTTCTGTCACTACTGCTCAGCCTTTTGTAACCCACCTCGCGGAGCCTGGTCCTGCTCCAGTAGATCCACTTCCAGTCAGTGGATCTCATCCGACTGTGTCACCCACAGAACCATCTGACCTGTCTACAGCAGTGAACCAGGGACAGCAGCCAGGAGTTGTTGATGTGCTCACAGGTTTGACACAGCTGCTGACTGAACAAACGAGGAGAAGTCTTCTTCCAGCTCTGGAACCACAAGTGTTCAAGGGAGATATTGAAGAGTTCTCGCTCTGGATGAAGTCCTTTGAATGCTACATCGAGGCAAGAACGGTCTCACCTGTGGAACGGCTGCACTTTTTGGCACAGTACACTGCTGGTGAGGCACGCAGGTCAATCCAAGGCCTTCTTCACCTGCGCACTGAAGATGCATACACCAGAGCCAAGAGTCTGCTGACAGACAGGTTCGGTAATGATTTTATCATTGCCAGCACCTACAAGAAACGTCTGAGAGATTGGCCGCCTGTGAGAAGTGGAGATGGTAAGGCACTCCGTCACCTTGCAGATTTCTTACAGCATCTCCTGGCTGCCACAGAGGAGTTTGCTGGTCTGCAGGTGCTCAATGAACCAAGTGAAATTGGCCATCTCATCAAGAAGCTCCCACGATACATAGTAGAAAGATGGAAGCGAGTGGTTGACATCAGCATCTATGAGCCTGCCCCTGGCCAGCAGGCTGGTTACCCCAAGTTTGTGGACTTTGTCAACTTCCTGATGAAGGAGGCCAGAGTGGCATGTGGGCCTGTGACCATTCAAGAGGAATCTGCAGCTACAGAGAAGCAGGCTCCAACAAGGAGACAAGTGGGACCGGATAGAGCTCGTGTTCTCTTGGCAACCACTGCTGACAAGAAGGAGCCCAAGTGCATGATTTGTGATGGAATTCATCAAGTCAGCGCTTGTGACGCTTTCAACAAGATGGAACTCTCTCAGAAGAGCGTGGCCGTCATGAAGCACGGTCTCTGCAAGGGATGCCTGAGACCTGGCCATGTCTGGCGCACATGCAAGAGAAGAATGAAGTGTGAGAAGTGCTCCCGTGGGCACCCAACTGTTCTCCATGATGACGCCCTGTCTGTCCCAAGGAGAGAGAGAACAGAGCCCACTGCCTATTCTCAGTCTGGAGAAACACAAGTGAAGGCAGTGACACTGCAAGTAACAGCCAGTGACAGAGATATCAACTGTTCTCACACCATGGTTGTACCGGTGCGCATCTCACACGCTGAACACCCGGAGAAGGAGGAAGTGGTGTACGCATTGTTAGACCCACAGTCGGATGCGTGCTTCGTCAAGGAGTCTGTTGCCACTCGCATCTGCGCTAAGGGAGAAGACGTGCTCCTCGAACTCAGAACCATGGCTGGTGAAACTACCATGAAGACGACAAGCATGAAGAACTTGATCATTCGACCACTCGACAGTGACACAGAAATCAAGATGCCTGCTACCTACTCACGCAAAGACATACCAGCAGAGCGGCATCTCATCCCAAGAGCTGAGACAATCGACAAGTGGCCGCACCTGAAGACGGTGTCGGAAAAACTGCCGCCCTACTTCCCAGGTGCCGAAGTTGGCCTGTTGGTAGGCATGAACTGTCCACGCGCGATCAAACCAAGAGACATCGTTCAGGGCGATGATGAAGATCCGTGGGCAGTCAAGACGGACCTGGGATGGAGTGTCGTGGGCCCCGTGCAAGGTGGATACAAGGAGGACTCAGCATGCCGCTACGTCAGCGTCACAGAAGAACGACGAGAGCTGTGTCACTTCACCTTCAGAGTACACGCTCAAGAAGTGAACCTGATGCAGATTGCACGAATGATGGACACCGACTTCCAAGAGCCTGACGTTGACAAGAAGATGTCATATGAAGACCAGAAGTTCCTGAACCTGATGGACGAGAAGATGCATCAGAGAGAGGATGGACACTTTGAAGCACCACTGCCTCTCAAAGACCCAGCCTTGCGATTCCCAAACAACAGACAAGCAGCAGAGCGACGGCTGACAGGACTGAAGAAAAGATTGAACAGAGATCCCTCTTTTCGACATGAATATGAGATGTACAGTGGATCTAGTTAGGATCTCCAGACGTAACTAGATGGCGTTGAGCCTTAGTCGAGTCCATGTCAAATTCAAGGGGAGGTCAGTACCGAGCTGGGCACGGTGGGGAGGTGGGGAGGGGCGAGGTCACGGTGCGGGTGACCTGTCAAACAGCCCCGGCGCAGCTAGGCGCTGCCGTAGGCAAAGGACGCATTCCAGCCGGCTCGCTGTTCCATATCGCGGTGGCGGGCCTGGCGGCCCGTAGCCTGACTGCTTGGAAGGAAAGGATAAAGGCATGGGTTTGCCGTGGTCGGTTCATCTATTGTCACCTATATGACGCACTCAAAGTACTGCATATGTGATGTTGGTAATGCATGATGCTATGGTAGGTATTATTGTTGGTAATGATTGCGATGTTGGTAATGCAGGTGGCAGTGGAATACTAGCGAATGCTCCGAGCGCCGAATAGCTTAAAGGATTAAATAAGATTATAAATACAGCCTGAAATTTTCATTGAAGATAATTCCAGCACCAGAAATATCCTTCACCAGTTTTGGACGGGCTGGTGTTTCTTGCGTAGAGCGCCTTTTGACAAATAATTGTCATGGCCGGCGATTTTTTTTTTTTGTATGACGGGTCACATCGCACTAAGGTCAAATTTAGTCGCTAAAAGGGGATGAGAAAAAGTGGACGAGTATCGCATTTTTGTGTATAAGGTTTCGAATACAAAAAAACTAAGCCAAAATAAGTTAAACAATAAAAAAATCATAACAATATATGACCCGAAACTAACTTCTGTTTTGTATGATCATGATTGGGTGTAAGACCCCGGTCCAGCCTGGTTCAACCCGGTCTCATGGGTGCTGGAAATGAGACCGCTTTATGGTCCCGGCGTTTTATTCTCCGGGCGGGTTAAGCCCGTCCAGCGTTTAGCCTTTCAAGACCCAACTCAGGGTCGCGGTTGTTTTCGCCCCGCGCCCCAGTCGAGATGCAAAGTTAATAGTCACACGAAGCTTAAGTTTAGGGCCAGCCAAACCAGCCTAGTCTGGAGTCACTGTTAAATGTATGCATTAGATGAAAGAAAAAGGTTTTGTAGAATCGATTAGTTTCGAAGTCATATATTCAGGGGCCTCAAATAAAGTTCGTGTGACTATCAACTTTGCATCTCGAATGGGCTGAGCGGCAGGCTAAGCGCTAAACGGGGCTAACCCACCCGGAGAATAAAACGCCGGGACCAGAAAGCGGCCTCATTTCCAGGACCTGGTTCGGCTCCCTCATTTACCTTCGGGCTTGGTCTCGTGACATTCACAGACGTCAGACATTCAACAAACAATTTTGGCGGAAACACTATCCAGCAAGCTGCGCAGGGGCGCGGCGCATTGTGACAGGTGCTCGTAGCGTTGGGGCTGGGTGATCTGTGTGCCGAGTGCGATATCGTGGGTTCGAGCCCCACTCGGCTCTGGTTTTATCTAGACACTAGCCAAAACCTTTCCTTTTACTGCAATACTGACCAGCACGGTGATTTATCTTTCCCGATATCCCCTTAACAAAGTCAAAATTGTCGCACCTATATATTTTTTTCTAATGTTTTGCTGAGTTTCATGAATTTTCATTTTTTTGTCGTTTCTCTGGACCCATTTCAACTCGTGATTCTTTTCGATCCGATAAAAACCCATCAGTGCTGAGCGTGCCAAATAATGGAAGAAATTATGCAACTGAATATAAATTTAGAAAAGCCTTACACATCATGCAAGGATCGACTGAAAGTATAGGTCCTAGATTTCAATTATGATTGGTTAACATTTTTGCTGCAAGTTTGAGGCGTTGCCTTTCGCTTGCCCGTTTGTTTGAGATAGCTATTCCCTTCAGTCGCATTCTTGCTGGCTTCACATGATCAGAGTGGTGTTTCACCGGCGATCGCAGGACGCTGCTATTACGACGTGTCAAATTGGGTTTCCATGGAGACGTCAACAAGCCCATTGCTCCAACACTACCACAAGTGTGACGTCAGCAGATATCACCGGTGAAACACCACCCGGGATACCACCATACCTGAGGGAGCGCACCCGCAACCAGCATCCCCTCCCCTCAGCCGCGGCGCAGTGGCGGGCGGCCCACTCCCGGCACGCTCCACGCCGCTCCACGCCGCGATAGCATCGCGTCACCCCCCCCTCCCTCCTTCCCCCACAATGACCGGTGACCTCGCTCCCCTCGGGAGTTGGACTCGCCCTACCCCGACCGTAGCGCCACGTGGTGGCTCTGGAGATCTTAAATAGACCCACTGTACATGGATGACATGTTGAAGAGGGGGTTTTCAGAGCCTGTCCCCGAGAACGAGCTGCTCCTTGACAACGGGAAAGTTTGGTATGTGGCGCACCATGGAGTCTACCATCCAAAAAAGAAGAAGTTGAGAGTGGTGTTTGACTGCAGTGACGAGTATCGAGGCCTCTCTCTGAACAGTCAACTCCTCCAAGGACCTGACCATGCCAACAGCCTCACAGGCGTGCTGATTCGGTTCAGGAAGCATCCAGTAGTCCTGGGATGCGATATCGAGGGGATGTATAATCAAGTGGGAGTGGATGCTGAACACAGGAATCTACTGAGGTTTCTCTGGTGGAAGAATGGAGACCTGACATCTGAACCTGCGGAGTATAGGATGACAACTCATCTATTTGGAGCCACATCGTCGCCGTCGTGTGCCATGTACGCACTCAACGCCACTGCAGACAAGTTCGAAGACACTCATGGCGAAGAGGCTGCTAACTTCATCCGAAGGAATTTCTACGTCGACGATGGCCTGATCTCCACTCCTGACGCAGACACTGCCATTCGCCTGGCGAGAAGCACCTCCAGCATGTGCAGAGAAGGCGGATTCAGGCTGCACAAGTTCGCATCGAATGATCCGGAGGTGATGAAGAACATCCCACCAGAAGACCGGTCGAAGAACCTGCAGAACGTGGAGCTGGGGAAGGAGAAGCAACCACTCCTCGAACAAGCACTCGGGCTGCTGTGGAATGCAAGTGACGACACGCTTCACTTCACAGTGGACCTGCCGAAGAAACAGCCGACAAGGAGAGGAATATTGTCAATGGTGAGCTCGGTCTATGACCCGCTGGGTCTTCTGTCGCCCTTCGTGCTGAAAGGGAAGAACATCCTCAAGCAGCTCTGCTGCAGTGGTAGCAGCTGGGATGATGTCATCTCAGAAGATCTGGAAGAGCTGTGGGAGGCATGGAAGAGCGACACAGAGAAGCTGCCTGAGATCACAGTTCCCCGTTGCTATGCTCCAAGAGACTTCGGGAAGGTCAAGCTCTATGAACTCCACCACTTCTCTGACGCGAGTGTGGATGGCTGTGCTCAATGCAGCTACCTGCGAATGATAGACGACGAAGGTGTCATCTCCTCACAGCTGGTAATGAGCAAAACCAAGGTCACCCCGAAACGACCTGTGACAGTGCCAAGATTGGAGTTGATTGCTGCAGTGATGTCAGCAAGGGCAAGTCGATTCCTGAGAGATGAACTGGACATCAACGATCTGAAGGAGTATTTTTGGACGGACAGCAAAGTAGTCCTTGGCTACCTCCTCAACGAATCCAAGAGGTTCCACGTGTTCGTAGCCAATAGGATTCAGCAAGTGCGACTCGCCTCCTCACCCGAGCAGTGGAGGTATATCAAGTAGAGGTGGCAAAATGTGGACCCGAGGACCCGGTCCAAAGAACCAGTCTGGACCCATATGGGTCCAGACCGGTTCCTGGAAAATTTCTGACGGGTCCAACCGGGTACTACCATAAACTATACATCTTGCACACCACACATTTTTGCAAAATATGAAGTGAATGAAGCGAATGTTTCTTTGCACACAGTAGCTCATAAGTATTCCCAGTGGGAAATAGGCTGTTTTACATGATGCAACTAATGATACATACAAGCAGTTTGTATTAATTGACTTTTGGGGAACGGGTCCAACTGGTTCCGATTCCAACTAAGACCGGGTCCGACTGGTTCCAGAAATGTCCAGCCGGGTCTGGTTCGAGTCTGGTTCCCAAATTTTTTATCTTTTGCCACCTCTAATATCAAGTCAGAAGAGAATCCGGCTGACCTGGCTTCACGTGGTCTGAGCGTGGATGAACTCAAGGACAATGAGTTGTGGTGGACCGGCCCATCTTTCTTCAGAGAGTCAGCTGACCTGCCGGCCGAAGAAGTGACCCATGAGGTAGATGAAGATGATCCTGAGGTCAAGCAGTCGAAAAGGGTCCTCGTCACACACGCCGACGCGGATCCAGTGAGTTACGATGGACTCCCGAAAAGACTTGAAAGATTTTCGAGCTGGTTCAGAGCGAAGAAATCACTCGCCATCTGTCTGAGGTACGTACGAGTTCTTCGGAGAAGGATGATGGAGCGACTTCGTCTTCAGCAGGGCCAAGTGAGCGAAGAAGTCGATGCTTCCCTGACTGATGCACCGATCACTGCCGCTGAAATGAAGGAGGCGGAACGAATCATCATCAAGTCGGTCCAAAATGATGCATTCAAGAAGGAGCTGAAGACAGCGGCAGAAAAGAAGGTGGCTGGAAAACAGAGTGACCTACACCGACTAGACCCGTTCGTGGGTCAAGATGGAATCCTGCGCGTTGGAGGACGCCTGCGCAGAGGCGACGTGTCTACAGCGGTCACTCATCCTGTGATCTTGCCGAAACGCGGACATGTGACCGACATGATCGTGGCTCACTTTCACCAACGCACACAACATGGAGGCAGAGACATGACGCTGGGAGAAATCCGTGTCTCTGGATTTTGGATAATCCGGGGAAGAATGGCAGTAGCGAGGCATATCCTGAGATGTGTGAAGTGTAAAAGGTTCCGTGGAACACTTCACAAACAGAAGATGGCGGACTTACCAGAGGAGCGTCTGGAACCAGCTGAGCCCTTTTCGTACACGGGTGTGGATTATTTCGGCCCCTTTTTCATCAGAGAGCGCCGAAGTGAACTGAAGCGTTGGGGCGTGCTCTTCACATGCCTGAACTCCCGTGCCATCCACATAGAAACAGCCAATTCATTGACTACAGACGCCTTCCTGAACGCCTACCGGCGTTTCGTTTGTCGCAGAGGACCAGTGGTACGATTGTACTGCGACAACGGAACAAACTTCGTTGGAGGAAGAAGAGAGCTGGAGACGGCTCTGGACGAGCTGAGTATGGACAAGCTTCGGCGTGAGCTGCTGAAAGATGAGTGTGACCTGGTGGAGTTCCGGATGAACCCGCCGCGCTCAAGTCACATGGGAGGCATCTGGGAGCGGCAAATCAGGTCAGCCAGAGCGGTTCTGACCAGTCTTCTTGATGGTCATGGTCAGCACCTTGATGACGAACTGCTCCGTACTCTGATGACTGAGGCCGAATCCATTGTCAATAGCCGTCCCCTATCCTACTGTAGCATGACTAACACTACCACTGTAGAGCCGATTACCCCTAGCCAGTTGTTGACTTTGAAATCCAAGGTAGTGCTAACTCCTCCTGGTAGATTCTGTGACTCAGACGTCTACGCTCGGCAGCGCTGGAGACGGGTCCAGCATCTGGCCTCCCTCTTCTGGACCAGATGGAGGAGAGAGGTGCTACCGACGCTGCAGGAACGCAGGAAATGGACTCGCGCCGTACCGAACATCGAAGAGGGCGACATCGTCCTGGTCGCCGACGACAGCGTTCCAAGGAATAGCTGGCCGCTGGGACGTGTCATCAAGACGTACCCCAGTGCAGACCGCCTCGTGCGGAGTGTGCAGATCCGGCTGGGCAAGGACGGTGCAGTGTACGACAGGCCCATTCACTGCCTCGTGCCAATGGTAAAGGCAGATAGCCGGAAGTGAACAGTAGAGAACCCGGGAGTCCCTGTCGGGGAGCCTGATATACTGTGGTGGGAAACTGTGGTTTCCTGTGTGTGCTGTGGTTGTGATTGGAAATTTGGGCGTCCCCAAATTTCGGGGAGCCATGTTACCGCAGCAGCCGCAGAGGGCGCTGGCGAGCCATTGTAGAGGGCATCACCGTCCAGTCATGGCCTCGGTTGTGCCGTGAGATATCAGCTGATCGTTACGTAGCTAACAGCTGATCGATGCGCAGAGGTCAAACGGGTCAAGCGGCGCAATGGAGGAATGGTGTTGTAAGTGTCTTTTATTATTATTTATATTGATTTATGTGTCGTTTTGTATTCATTTAACATCTGCTTATTTTCTGGCTTCTAATATCGACTGTTTTCTTTCAGAATTACGTACGAATATACAGCTACAAACTGACTGTCTCGAACAATCGATCACTGCGCCGAATTAAGACGAGCACAGACAAAGACGCTGTAACATGGACTTTCGTGAGACAAACACTCAAGGCGAGGAATTTTCCAAGTTACATATTGCAATGGTTTGACTTGTTATGCAACGGCGCTTATTCAAGACTTCTGTACAATGGTCATATTTCAGACAAAATCGCTTTGGAAAGATCATGTAGGCAAGGAGATCCGTTCAGTTGTTATATTTTTCTTTTAACCCTCGCCCGCACATGGGGGGGGGGGGGGTGGTTGCCACCCCCCCAGGCAGTCTTTCTGCTCTGCACTCAACATTTTTAGAGCTAGAAGGCTGATTTTTCGTATAGCTGCTCATCTATCCTTTCTTGATGTCCACTGAAAATTTCAAGTTTCTGTGATTTTTGGTTTCGGAGATATGACCTTGTTTTTCAGGTCATGTCATGACCCAAATGGCCAATTCTCAATATCTTGCGTTTGCCATGGGCCTTGTGAGCTTTTGACACCCTGATTTCGGCCTTTTTTGCCAGTCTTACCTCCCACCTATCATGGAACATGTTGTTCGACGATGTACAGGGGTCAAGGTCAGGGTCAAGGTCAACCTAGGTCATCTAAGATAATTGCGTTTTAGGCAAGCTGAATTTACTTTTTGTGAAGTTTTTTTTACTGCATTTTTGGTAAAAGCTTCTCAGATCATGATTTCATGTGATATGGACCCAAAAACAATCGGTGCACACATCAGTATACACACAGACACACACAGACATACAAACACATATAATTGACCTTGACCTAACTTGACCTGAAATGACCTCAGCAGCAAAATTCTGGTCGGATAGTGTGACAAAGAGGTTCTAGCTGGCTTGGCACCAGAAAACAGCATCGTCATCGGTATTTGATAAGCAGCGCACTTGATATCCAACGGTGACCCAAAACAGCAAAAATTTTTAGTTTGACCTGACCTGGAAGGTCAATGACTGACCTGAGAAGGTAAAACTGGGTATCATTGGATTCGTCTCTTCCCAAAGAATCTTTTTGGTCTTTACTGCTAAGCTCTATCTCCAACAGGAACGAAATGGCGCGGGGGGGGGGGGGTGGCAACCCCCCCCCCATGTGCGTTCTAGGATGGGAAAATGGCATGTGCGGGCGAGGGTTAATAATGGAATGTTTGCTGGAGCAAATACGGGACAATAAAAGCATAATAGGAGTCTTGGTGGGCAATACAGAATATAAGTTATCATGCTATGCAGACGATGCATTATGTTTTCTCGACGGTAGTGTCAACAGTTGTCGGGCTCTGTTTCATGACCTCGGAGTTTTTGCAAAGTACTCGGGACTCGAGCCAAATATAGACAAGACTGAAGCATTCTGGGCCGGGGCTAACGTGGAAGATAAAAGTACAATTTGTGATGAATTGCATTTCACGTGGGTCAAAAAGCTTAAGGTGCTTGGTGTGTATTTCGCAAATGACGACGAACAAGTTTTCGAGGAAAACTTTGAAAATAAGCTAAGTCAGGTGAAGGCTACAATGAAACAGTGGAAGCGGAGACTGCTAACTATTAAGGGCAAAATACTTATTGTAAAAACTTTACTACTCCCTAAGTTTACGCATATATTTACGTCCCTTCCAAAACCAAAAGATGCATTCATTCAAAAGCTTAGGCAAGAGTTTTTTGCTTTTATATGGGGTAGTAAGGTGGATAAAATAAAAAGAAAGAGCATTTATAAACCATATGGAAAAGGCGGATTGAGTATGACTGAGATTGAGTCATATATTGCGGCATTGAAAGTAACATGGGTTAGAAGATATATTGCCGAATTTCATATGTGGCAGACATTGTTCGAGCATGATATAAGTAACAATGAATTTATTTGGGATAGGAATGCTCGTTCAATGCAAAAGCTGGCTGCTAGAATAAAAGATCCCTTTTGGAAGGAAACATGTAACGCGTTTGCGGCTCTGACATCGACTATTAACATTGACTGTGAAGAGTTAGGTCGCTGCAATTTATGGTTTTCAAATGAAACTAAGTTTCACGAAAGTGAGATTTTGGAGTGGAGAAGAAAAGGGCTGCGTATTGTAGACGATATTCTTACACCGTCAGGCGAGATTCAGACATATGATCAATTCAAGGCCAGCTTTCATATTAAAGGCACGTATTTAGATTTTGAGGGGCTAGTAAAGAGCTTACCTAGAAGGTGGCGAAGTCAAACTAATAAAATTAAGCACCCAAGGCCGGTATGGCATCCATACGTAGCTTTTGTTATGCAAACTAATAGTGGTGCCAAACTTTTCTATGATAGGCTAGTTGCCAGTAAATACAAGAGAAGTTCAAACAGTTGGGAAGCCAAGTGGGAGATACAACTTGGAGATGTCGATTGGGGGGAAAGTTACATCTGTTTGTATAGGTCAACCCCGTCGGTTAGGCTGCAGATGCTACACTACAGAATTCTGACACGGACCGTGGCCACAAACATTCTCCTTTGTAAAATAGGGGTCAGGGAAACAGATATGTGTATGAGGTGCAAGACTTATCGAGATACAATAGAACACAGATTTTGGGAATGTTATCATGTGCGAGAATTCTGGACTACCGTCAAACAGTGGCTGGACTCTCTGGGCGCTTACGCTAATTGCGAGTTAACGAAGAAGACGGTTGTGGCATGCGAAACAGCCTACTCAATCACGTGGTTGTAGTGTGTAAAGATATTATAAATAAGGACGGCAGACTTAGCCTGGACCACTTCATAGCGCGTATTAGAATAGAGAGAGACATTGAGTTAGATATTGCAAAATGGAGTGGTACAACAGATAAATACGCTAAAAAATGGAGTGCTGTGTCGGAGGTTTTGCTGATATAAGAAAGGTTGCACCGCAATGTAGCACATGACGAATGACAGTGTGTATTCAATAAAAGTGAAAAAAAAACGCTACATCCATATAATATCGTCCGTAAGAAAGCTAAAGAAAGTTAAGCAGAGACTAGAGCCATATGATGTGAAAAGGAAATTTGATTCCGGCACTGTGTTGTTCATGCAGCTTCAATTAAAATGCCAGTTCGCCTCAGATGCGAAATGCCACGTGAAACAATGTCAGATATTGGATCAAGAATGTTACGGGCGGGTCCTAAGCAGGCTAAGTGAGGCTTGGACAACTATTACGACCTTTGTTATGAGACCGTTAGTGCACAAATCATCAAACACACCCTGCTCCAACTGAGCTAAGATTCTTGGATTTCTGAACAGTTTGATATCCTTTACATTTATCAGTTCATCCATCTGCTAAATGTCAATCGTCTTTCCCTGCACCTCTAACTTAGGACGACCACCATCAATATAATCACACAAATCTCAGCCTCCCCTCCACCTTCCCCCACCAGTACCGACGCAGTCACAATCGGCCCCTGGGCAGGAAGAACGAGATGTCGTCTCCGGTGCGTCCCCAGGTGGTCCGCTGCGTCTGGTACATGATCTGCCACACGATCAGCGCCACCAGCCAGACGGCTGAGCCCAGTGCCGAGAAGATCACGTATCTTTTGATCTGGTATTGTTCAGGAAACCTTGGAGTCCTGAATGCATACACGCAGAACCACACAGCATTCACAAGCCAGAGGAAGGGCAGCAGAAAGAAACCACCATAAAAATACTTCCGACAGATGGTAAGCTTCTCTGAATTTGGAGCCTTGGCAAGATTCATGACTCAGGCTTAGCTTCAGCTTGTGGTGCAGGCAAGGTTCAAGAATTCACAGCAATAACAGTACGCGCATTTCAATTTTCTCCCATTGACTTATAATGGGGAGGTCGCAAAATTGACCTGACCTTAGGTCATCGATATCAAAATTCTGAGATATACATTTTGTACATGCTATTGCTCTTAGCAATCGCTGAAAGTTTCAAAGCGATCGGTCACTCAATGTGGCTATGACAGACATTGAAACTTTTTATGAGGTGAGGTCACTTCAAGTGACCTGGTGACCTGACCTTGAATGACCTTGGTCTGAAATTTTCACAACATGTATAGAATTGATGTATGATAAGGTGTACCAGAAACGGCGGCGCTCCGCGCTGCCGTTTTTGAGATATTCGCGAAAAATCACAAGGGGGGGTGTTCAAACACCCACCCCCCCAGCAGGGCGCGGGTTAGGGGGGGGGGGGCTCTGCCGACCTTTGGTCCCATTCTTCCCATGCAACGCCCATAGGGCTAATGTTAAAATGCCAAAATCAAAGGGGGGCACGGTGCCCCGGTGCCACCCCCGTTCCGCCGTCTATGGTCGTCAGGTTAATTCATTTTCGACATGCGGCATGTGGTTACGGCAACGTTCAAATAAATCCCGCACGGAAAAAATAAGCGATTATGTAAACAAATCTCACCTTCTTACGCAACCTAAACCCTCAGCGAAGCTCTGGAGCTGATGATGAATATGGGATGTCACGTGAACGTGAAATGCGCTACACCTTTTTACGGCCAAATATAGGAATAGTGCACACAGTTCAGTAATAGCGCAACCGATTTCGGCAATTGTGCACACGTTTCAAAAGAAGAGCAATCAATTTAGAAGATAGTGCGTTCAAATTCAGTTAGCGGTAGGTTCAATTTCGTCATAGTGCAAGGTTTCGTTATGTGGCTTGATAGTCGGCGTCCAGCAAAGCAATTTAGGCGATGTTCAAGTGATTTCGCTGCTGGATTGGGAGAATGTTTTTGAAAGCCCCTATCTGTCTGTCAAGAGTAGCGTGAATTTTGGTCAAAGAGCTGCTCAAATGCAGTTTCAGCTCTCAGGAATTAACTTATCATTTGTCTCTCTCTAAGAATTCGGTGACACGGTCAAATGGCGGTCACGTGGCATTCAGGGCTTCTGAATCGGGTGCATAACTTCGGTGCTGGTTCAACAAGATCAGAAATGGCATTGATTCTTGTTATCGCTTTTCAGCATCGTGGCGAATTTGACTGAACAAAGCCGAAAAAAATATTGCTCATGCCGAATTTGAAAGCAACTGACGAATTATGTGCACTATGTGTTATATGATTGAAGCTAAGGCAGCCAGATGAAGCATTAAATAACTTCTACCCTTTGCATCAAGAACAGTGCAGCTGGCTACTTGACTGTTTTGCGTTGCTGACTGCCTACGAGTGTCATTAGAGGCTTAGGAAGCGTAAAATGTGAAATAAAAATGGTTGTTACTTAATTATGCAATGCCAGTCTTACTGAAGAGTGCCTAAATTACATGCGGCACTCCGAAATTGAAACGATCTGACGAATAATGTGCGCTATGTGTAATATGCCTGAGCCTGGGTCACTTAAATCTGCACTACGACGAAATGGCTGCAATATGACGAATATCGTGCCGCGATTCAATATATGAATGCACTACGCCGTACTGTCGAAATCGCCTGCACTATTTCTGAAATGTGTGCACTGCCGCCTAAATTGGGCGTTTTCATTAGATTCATTAAAATTTAATTAATTTCATTAGCGATAAAATTTCAGTCATTCAGTAAAATTTCATTAGCAGCTTGTTTGAACGGCAACACGCTACACTTGATGAACAGCAAGAGCGTTTTCAAAAATATTTTCTAGATGGGGCACCTAATTCACTTGAAGATTAACTAAATTGGTTTGTGGTACGCCGATTACAAATGCATATGACGAAGCAATGCACTCTGGCGAAACTGAAATCGCAACTACTGAAATGAATGCATCTAATTTTAAATTGCTTGCACTGTTTCGGAGCCGAGTGCACTATTACTGAATTTCATGCACTCGGCCGAAGTAACGGTGCCCTATGCCGAACTGTCGAAATGATTTAACTATTTCTGAACTGTGTGCACTATTTCTATATTTGGCCGTAAAAGGTGTAGAAGTTATTGGCGAAAAATGGGAGGGGGGGGGGGGCAGATTCTGCCCCCCCCCCCAGCGGGGCGCGGGTTAAGGAGCTTGTTTGTCTTGTTGTTGTTGTCTTGAGTTAAATGTCTTTTTTGTCTTGTTTAGCTTTTAAGCCGCTCAATGGTGTGTTAATCTGCTTGGTGTACGGCCCTCCAGGCATTAAGTGGTTGGTTGCCAACATCACAATAATCGATCTGCATTGATGAATACGTCTAATGGCTGTTGAAAACCACTGCCGAAATGTGCGCGCGAGCCCTATTCTCATTGCTATTGAGTCATTTTACAGGAGTGTCTCTGTTATTTAAAGTTATTACCCAAAAAGCACATAGGCTAACCAACCACTCTTTTGCTGGAGGGCCGTACGTAGTTCCCTGCCTGTTTCTTATTGCTCTGTAGGTATCTGCTTTATCCTTACCAAACAAATGAAGGCCCGCCACAGTCTAGTCAGTAGTCACAATCAATTCTGTATTTATGTATGTATGCTCTGAGTGAAAGGTGCACTGCACATGTTTGTGACTTAATGTGCATCTTGCATGCTTGCTGTTTCAGGATGAATTCCTAGATGTCATCTACTGGCTGCGACAAGTTCTTGGGATCATCATTGGTCTTGTGTGGGGCATTCTTCCCATGCAGGGTTTCTTGGGCCTAGCATTGTAAGTATCTTCACTTGTACAGTGTAACCTAGCCTTTCCAGCAACAAAATAATGAAACGGACTCTGCCTCATAAACATGTCAAAAGTACTTACCTCGCCTGAGCCAGACAGAACTACGAGTGCAAATGCATTGCATGGGTCGTATTTTCTGAGTTCCACCTCAACTTGGCTACTGAACTTAGTTTTAATGTAGGTAGGTAAAGGTGGGACAGTCATTCTAGTCTTTTTGCTTTGCCTCTTGGATAGTTTAATTATTTTTAAACAGTTTGTGTTCGTCTTTTTCAGGTTCTTCTTTGTCAGTAGTATTATAATATACATCTATTTCCAAAGTTTTCAAGGTGTCGACGAAGACGACTTTGGCGGGTTTTCAGAGCTGGTAAAGGAAGGATGCATGACGTCTTTTGCGGGGTTCCTGGTAAGTTTTTGCTGAAACTTTATTAATCGTTGTGCGCCTACCGGGCAATGCATTTTAACCCGGCAGGCGGTGGGCCTTCCGGCCACCTTCCGCGCGTTGGGAAGGGGGGGGGGGGTATTTTTTACCCACCCACCCCTTATCTCCGAAACTCTTGGACGGATCCGCGAAATTCAAACGGCGCTCGAAAGCCCTGTCAAATTTGTTGAGGGTAATCCAATTTCCTTCACCTCGGGTTCATCGATGACGTCACTGGTCAGGTCAAAGATAAAATGTTCTGCCATTCACGGGTCTTCTAGGGAATGCGCTATAACATCGAGTAAAACGCATTTTATCTTAAATCAGCGATAGGGTGTAAGTTGTATATTACATATGTTGCTATCAGAGGTCACTGATAATACCAGGTCAGGTCACAGGTCAGGTCACCAAGGGTCAGCACATGAACCCAATTTTACTAGGGCTGTGCGATGCATGTTTTATGGCTAGTTTTTCATTTCTAACTCAATGTTCTTGGTTACAAGACCATCAGAAACGGTTTAGATCACTTCCTGATGGAAGTCAGGTCAATGTCAGGTAAAAAAGGTCAAATTTTAAAGTTGATATTTTTGCGTAAAGTGGGTATTGATTCGATGCGACTCGTCACGGCGAGTCTAATGGTGTTCTTTGTTTTGAGCTAAGTGGTGTCGGTATGGGCTGTCACATATATTCCGTAAATTAGCGTCGCCACGGGGGGGGGGGGGGGCAAGCGGGGCAGCTTGCCCCTCCAACCTCGGACCGGGCACCCCCTGAGATCGATACAGATCCGATGAGATTTTGGAGTCGGGGAAAAATGGGGGGGGGGTACCTTTCTGAGAATGCCTGTGAGGTCAGACTCGGTTGGAGCGTGCAGTTCAAACCAGAGTCTGACTCGCAGTCGCCAAAATCTTCCAGACTCCGAGTCCAGACTCGGAAATGACAATGCTGTGATTCATTCCATGTTCCTAGTTCGTTCTTTATTACATTTTACAGCTGATTTTCATAAGTTTTGGAGTGCTGACACAATTTTCGTTCAAAGCGTGAAACGAAATCTTCGGGGCCTCTCTCAACTCTCGTCAAATGTCTGCGACAGGCTCAAGTACCGTACAATTGTCGCAGGGCTCATGAGCTTGCTTTAAACAAAGGCTCCTAAGGAGCTCCACTGAGCCGTAAAGAAGCTTTCAGACTTCAAAGGGCCCAAACCGGCCTCTGAAAGTCCCACTGGTGTCCATGTTCTCTCAGGGCCTATACAGGGATCTTTGAGCCTTCGAACATTTCTGAGAACCTTAACTGGCTTCTGATAGTTCAGCCAAACTTTTGAGGCGACACTTTGCTAACCTCAAGCCGGCATCTGAGGGGTCACGGCTCACGTGTCCCTCTGAGGTCCGCAACACATGTTTATTATGTCCCTACGTAGGGTCCTTAGGGATTCGACACAGACCCCGAGGGTTCACACCGTTATCCGAGGGCTCCAGGCTCACCCTGGGCCTAGTCTCTTAGCGCCCGCCGCCCACACTGGCTTCTGAGGGCCCCACCTTGGGATCGGAAAGCCCTAAAGCACCACGTACACGTAAATATTTGAGGTGACCCACGCCGATCTCCGGGATCCTAAGCATGCTTCTGAGAGTCAGCACTGACCCTGAGTGACCTGAAATGGCCTGGAAGTCCCAAACCTATCTCTAAAGGTTTAGCTACACTATGCGGGATCCTAGTCCGTGATCTGCGTTTTGTCGGGTTTTGCGGGAAATCGGTACGCAGGTCAAGTTCAGCTGATAGGAAATACACAGGGTCGGCTACACTGGGGTCACACAGATTCAGTCAAGGAAATCCCGGACGTTCAGTACAGGAAAAATGCCGCATAGTCAGGACGGTCAGGATGTTCCGTACCGATATAAAGTTCAAAGCTACGAACTTTTTTGCAGAATCTGCGAGATTGCGTGATATGAGACAGTTGTGGGCGCACTTGGTGGCGCACCGTATGAATCCAAGTGACGTAAATAATAATTGTTTCTTTAATTTTCATCTGTTTTTGATGTTTTATTAACAAAATAAACTATTTATCGATAAAATAGTATAGAAGGTAGCAAAGTTAAGCGTTTGTTGCGAAACCATTTATTAATTGTTATTATTACGGCAGCGTACAATAATTCACGGCAATTCTGGAAAATCGCAGAAACCGATGTCAAGGGAGTCTCGCAATCACGGATCTGCAGATCACGCACGTAATTTCCTGGACGGTCACGCATAGTGTAGCTCAGCCTTAAGGGATCCCTTGCCGCTATGCCGTACGTAATTTTTGGTTCTGTTTGACAGTTTTTGTTCGCGCTTGCAGCGCTTCCCTTCACACGAAAAACGAGAAACTTTTGTTCACACTCGAGTGAACATAACACTTCCTCTCACTGGAGCAAAGATGAATTACTTCCGATTCACACTTCCGACACTCACGTCTCACTCTCCGCCGAATGCCCAACTTAGCTATGATAGGCGGCTGGGATAAGTCCTATGCATTTCACGTAAAACCTCTGCATGCATGCGTGAATGGAGGTTTTAGCAGGGGATCCGATTAAATGGAGCGTTTTTCACCTTTTTCTGGGTAATGATCATGAGCGTCGAGCGTCTGCACAGGGGCCCTCTGCAGTGCGTCGGCAATCGCAGCCACTATATGTATAGGTACTATAATGAAATTTCAAAATTTCGAATTTTTCTTAAAAAAATACATGTCATAGCTAGAAGGAAACCTTTGTCACCATCGGATTCCTCGCACCACTGCGCATCGAATGATAGGTAAAACGAGTTAGTAAAGACTGGGGAAAGGCAAGTTTTAACACAAAAGTTGATTTTGCCCCCCCCCCCCAACCGAAAATCTCTGGCGACGCCTATATTTCCGTTCTTTTTAAAAAGAAAAACTTTTTGGATTTTGTTTTACTATTATATTCCTTTTTTGGTGGGGGGTCAAAATTTGAAAATTCACAATTTCGAGACAACAGTTTAGTACCCCTGGTAATTCTACACCTCTTATGTCTTAAACGTTTTCTGTATCTTCAAAGCTATAGGCCTGACAAGTGACAGACAGCTCTTCTCGCGAAACCTTTTTTTTGGGTCGAAAACGGCAGAACATGAGGCCACTCTGACAGATGGAGCTTTTCCAGGGAAGGTGGTGGGGCAAAAAGTCGTCAAAACCACAATGTCCGATTATAAAGTTGAATGAAATGCCACACTGAATCAATCCCTATAATTACAGACATATTATTTTGCATTAAACAGACATTTCAAAGCTCTTCAATGCGAAAAAGATTAATTTGCAAAGCAACAAAGTCTTAGAAATCACCTAAAGTTGGTGGGGCTAAACGCTCATTGGTGGGGCAAAATACAAAGTTGGTGGGGCAGCCGCCCCACCAACTGTATAGGAAGCTCCGCCCCTGCACTCTGACATCATTTGCGGCGATCCTATCAAAGTATTTGGAAATTTTTTGGTCACAATGTGCAAAATTGATGCCAGGGAGAGTACTGAAAGTTTGGTGACGATCGGCGCAGCGGTTCTGGAGATAGGGGAAAGTTGGGTAATATCGGCCAGTAGGTAATATCGGACAGGCAGTTATCTTCTGAACTCTCCCCCAAGTGCATACGCAAATATTTTATTTGGAAAAAAAGATAGCCCTGGATTTCCTTTGTCACCACCTCCTCTCGCAGGCAGTTTGCCGCTAGGTTGTCATATTTTTTTTACGATAATCACCATTTGTCCTTCCGTCCATACAACTTATTAATTACCTGTTATCGCAGAGATAAAGAAGTTGCAACTGCCAAGTTGTACATTTTCCACTTACCTGAACATTTTTGTTATCGATTATGGCCCAACTATCTGTGTTCAATGTGTTTGTTGCTTCCATTTTGGCGCATTTTGAACGGCCTACGTGTTTGCTATTTATTTATTTATTTATTTATTTATTTATTTATTCGATGTCATGGAACAACAGGCGAATTGACGCCCAGTAACAGTCCATAGCAGTTATACGTTCGGAGCAGTGTAAACATTGCCTTTAGTCTTTCGTCTCTTACACATACAATCCCTCGATATACCAACCATATCTATCACACAGTCCATACAGTACATGCATAACACAATAAATACAGTCACGCGGTTCACACCCGGTTCACACCAGGACTCACATGTTTTGTATATGTCGTCTTACTTTAGCCCGAACATCCCGCATTGAGTCGTGAAACAAATCCAAATCTGTTTCTCGAACATAAATTCATTTATGATAGTGGGTGCCCTAACAAAAAGCGAACCTTTCATAGTGTCGACCCGCGCAAATGGTACATTCATGACACCACGAGCTCCTTCAATCCTCCTTGTAATTCTTGGAGCAGCATACAGCGGAAACCGTGCCAATAGTACATGTGAGTCGAGGACACCTTTGTACAGTTTTTCCACAAACATGATATCGTATTGATGGCGTCTTTTCTCTAATTCAGTTACGTTAAACATTTGGAGCAAACGAGAATAATCAATATCGGATGGTATCGCGCTTCGATTTACATAAAAGTATAGCCATCTGAGAAAGTGATACTGTATCTTTTCTACTCTATCTAAGTGCGATTTTGCCGCACCACCCCATATGACACAACAATATTCTAATATCGCACGAACATTTCCATAGAAGGCGGTCAAAATTGACTTCCAGTTTACTATGCCAATTTTTGATTCAGACTGCATCGCCCTCATAAGAATGCCGTTCATTTTGTTTGCCCTAGACACAATAAAGTCAACATGATTACAAAACGTGAGTCGTCTGTCTAAAACCACCCCCAAGTCCCTAATTGTGTGCACGATTTCCAGGCGAGTGTCACCAATCATGTATTGACAAGTAAGGGGGTCACTTTTTAAGGTAATACAGAACTGCTTGCACTTGGAGGGATTCAATTTCAAGTTCCAAGTTTTCGACCAATTATAAAGTCTCCTAATATCCCCTTGTAGCCGTGCAGTATCTGTCAAATCTGAAATCTCTGAGTACACCTTGATGTCATCCGCAAACATTAAGCATTTTGTTTGGACAAACAATGGATAATCGTTAACGGACACCCATCCGATATTACCCTATGGGGGGGCACTGGCGGATCCAGGCTTGCGTTTTTTGGGGGGGGGGGCCAACTCATGCAGGAGCCAAACCTAGGGTACCCCCAAATCCTGTTTTCTCATCGGATTTAGGCCACTTATTTTTCGTCACAGCCCTGACACTATGAATTTTTTTAACTAAAAAGAAAAATATATAAATGGTAGCCCACCCGACCCATGCCTTTATATTACTTTGTAAACACTCACCATTGTTTTTATCGACCAGTTAAAGGGACCCTCCCACCTTAACATTAGATTGGAGCTGAGATAGCCAAAATGGGGTCCCTGGCTCACAATTACCGGTTTCGGCACGCACTCACAACATCGAGAAATGCCTTAAATCGGAAATATTGAATTTCAAAATTGCAGCATTTTGATTGAGAGGGGCTAATGCTTTTGGATACCCCTCTGAATGTGTGACGTCAGCGGAGATCTAATGATTTTTTTAATATTTTACTAAAACGTTTGGTAGCATGCGGTGGTATAGGCTGCTTTGCGCGCAACAAATGCCGCACTTTCAAATAAAGTCGCTAGGAACAGCAGCGGATATCCCAAAAAGTAAACAAAAATAAAAGTCTAATCTCTTGAAAACCGGTGAATATTTTTCGATAAAATTTGGTAGATATTCGTTTTCGCCCTTTCTGAACCTAGCGACATCACTTTCATGCCAATTCATTAACTTTTTTGAAGGTGGGAGGGTCTCTTTAACCCGCTTCGAGTCAGTGCTTGGGTCCCTTTGCGGGCCGGGAGGTGGTAAAACAGCCCTGTCTAACTCGGCTCCTGGGCCACGCCCTGATTGAACTATGTTTCATTATCGTTTGGGGGAGGGGGAAAACGGGCCACTTTAGGCCTCTGGGAAGGGGGCATGGCCCTAAATGCCCCCTCCCTGGATCCGCCAGTGTAAGAAGAGACCATTGGAGCTGCAGTTGGGTACCTCAGACATCAGGGTACGCCCTCAGATGTATGTATAGGACTCGCATGGAGACCTCTTGTGCTATAGTGTACTGAAAGGACCCAAAGGAGCCTGTCTATATGGGCTCCCGGAGATAGACGTGGGCCCTCAGGAGCCCGCCAGAGCCCCAATGAGGGATAAGTGAGGGATACCAAGTGCCTGCAATTGCATATTGCATAAGCCATAACGCCTTTACAAATCAATATATTATGCATCAGTGGCAGATCCAAGGGGGTCACATGGGTCATGACCCCCTTGGTGCCCGGGGGCACCACAGGCCTGTCAGGGGCACCACCGGCCTAGTAGGGGCACCACCAGCCCGCCAGGGGCACCACAGGCCTAGCAAGGGCACCACGGGCCTGTGAGGGGCCCCACAGGCTTGTCAGGGGCACCCCAGGTCTGTCAGGGACACCAGAGACCTGCCAGGGGCGCCGCCGGCCTCGCAGGGGCACCATGGGCCTGTCAGGGACACCAGAGGCCTAGCAGGGGTACCATAGGCCTTACAGGGGCACCACCGGCCTTGCAGGGGCACCTTGGGCCTGTCAGGGGCACCACAGTCCTGTCAGGGCCCAGGGGCACCAGCGGCCTAGCAGGGGCACCACAGGCCTGCCAGGGGCACCACCGGTCTAGCAGGGGCACCATGGGCCTGTCAGGGGCCCCACCGGCCTCGCAGGGGGCACCACCGGCCTCGCAGGCATCACGGCATCACGCAGGGGCACCTTGGGCCTGTCGGGGCATCACGGGCCTGTTGGGGGCACTTTAGGCTTGTCAGGGGCACCACAGTCCTGTCAGGTCCCAGGGGCATCAGCAGCCTAGCAGGGGCACCCTAGGCCCGCCAGAGGTACAGCCCACCGCTAAAGTAATGTAGGGTTTTACCAAACTCAACGGTTGGCTTTGACTGGCGATTGTTTAATGCGAAGTGATTGAAAAGAAGATGTCAATAGCTTAAGTTGCAGCTGCAAGGCCTAGCAAGGGCACCACGGGCCTGTCAGGGGCACCTCAGGCTCCCGTGCCCCCCCCCCCTCCCCCCCAGATCCGCCAGTGATGCCACACCACGCGAAACACCGCCAACTACCAGCTGCCGCGCCATAAACACGTGCCAACAACAGTCTTTTTTTTAAGGTCGACTCCGCTCGCGCAACTTTTGACTGACCCTCACTGCTACTATATTGCTTCCATATTATGCTGTGGAAAGCTTTACTTCACCAAGTGGCTAAAAACCTCCATCAAGGTATATTTTCTTAGCAATTTTTCTGGCGTTTTGGGGGGGGGCCAAACAGGCCACTTTAGGCCTTTGGGGGGGGGGGCATGGCCCCCGTGCCCCCCCCTGGATCCGCCAGTGTGGGGGGAGGTGTTTGAACCCCCTCCCCCTCTTCTAACTCGGCTCCTGGGCCACAGAGCGACACGCGGGAGGTGGCGTTCGAAAGAGTAAGAAGCCAACGCATAACTCTGGGACCAATATCAATATCAAGACTCTTGGGATCCATTTGGACGCCCGTCCGTAATTTGCTGCTGCTGTCCGATAATACCCAAGTAACTTTTTTTTAACCCTCGCCCGCACATGCCATTTTCCCATCCTAGAACGCACATGGGGGGGGGGGTTGCCACCCCCCCCCCGCGCCATTTCGTTCCTGTTGGAGATAGAGCTTAGCGGTAAAGACCAAAAAGATTCTTTGGGAAGAGACGAATCCAATGATACCCAGTTTTACCTTCTCAGGTCAGTCATTGACCTTCCAGGTCAGGTCAAACTAAAAAATGTTGCTGTTTTGGGTCACCGTTGGATATCAAGTGCGCTGCTTATCAAATACCGATGACGATGCTGTTTTCTGGTGCCAAGCCAGCTAGAACCTCTTTGTCACACTACCCGACCAGAATTTTGCTGCTGAGGTCATTTCAGGTCAAGTTAGGTCAAGGTCAATTATATGTGTTTGTATGTCTGTGTGTGTCTGTGTGTATACTGATGTGTGCACCGATTGTTTTGGGTCCATATTACATGAAATCATGATCTGAGAAGCTTTTACCAAAAATGCAGTCAAAAAACTTCACAAAAGTAAATTCAGCTTGCCTAAAACGCAATTATCTTAGATGACCTAGGTTGACCTTGACCCTGACCTTGACCCCTGTACATCGTCGAACAACATGTTCCATGATAGGTGGGAGGTAAGACTGGCAAGAAAGGCCGAAATCAGGGTGTCAAAAGCTCACAAGGCCCATGGCAGACGCAAGATGTTGAGAATTGGCCATTTGGGTCATGACATGACCTGAAAAACAAGGTCATATCTCCGAAACCAAAAATCACAGAAACTTGAAATTTTCAGTGGACCTCAAGAAAGGATAGAGGAGCAGCTATACGAAAAATCAGCCTTCTAGCTCTAAAAATGTTGAGTGCAGAGCAGAAAGACTACCTGGGGGGGGGGGGGGTGGCAACCACCCCCCCCCCCCCCATGTGCGGGCGAGGGTTAAATCGCTGCGCTCCAACGCAACACCGGAACCTCAGCAGACTTTCTAAAAACAAAGTTTTGGGCTTTCTACATATATTTAAATGACTCCCAGTTACATAAAAATGATAACCTTCATGTTACGATGGCTTGAAGTTACCCGTCCGATAATACCCAATTTTCCCCTATATCGAAAAGTTTGGAGGGGGGGGGGGGGCAAAAAATAGCCCACCCCCACCAGGGCGCGGGTTATGGTTCGGTCAGAAGTCAGAACGGTACTCCGCAAAAATCACGTGTCTTGCGTCACAGCTGAGCATGTACATTAGAGATGTCATTTGGATACCAACCTTTTGGTATATCAATGGTGTGAAGTGCTTGAGCGAGGAACATAGCGAGAATAGATACGTGAAGAATCATTGACCTTTTCCTCGAAAATGTAAAAACAATGCCAAAAGTTATATTGAATGCGGTGAGCTTTCGGCTACAAGCCTTCGTCAAACCAACAAAATGACACAATACAAAATTCAAAATTCATGTCCACATGCAACACTCTAGAACTGAATTTTTAAACTGCCATTGTCGATACTCGTGCTTGTTTATGGAACAAACCTATCACTCCGCTAAAATCCAAGTAGACATAATGGATTGGATAAAATTCACGTATCTTTTGGTATATCGATACCAAACCGATATCAACTTGGTATTTGGTATTTCACGGCCAGTGGATTCGGTATTTTGTTGGTATTATGAACCCTCACTAATGTAAAACAGGCTGAGAATTTGGACTATATAGTTGGTATTTTCCTCATATTCCCAAGTCGGTTTGGTTTCGGTATTTTTCCATGGATATTGTTGGTATTTGGTTTGGTATCGGTATCTCGATTTTCCGTAATTGACATCACTAATGTACATGGTACAGGGCTTACTGTCGCCCTCGTTCGCTTGATGCCCCAAAAAGCCTCTTACTGATGCATAGCTTAGCACATATCATGTCCGATTATTCATCGTGTTTCGGGAACGACCGTGACTCAATTTTTTGTTATGGTACAAACTTAAGCAATTAGTCGAAGTGAACAATCATCGATTAAAGACATCAGTATATCAACCTTGCCATGCGCTGTTAATATATGCTTGGTACCTATTATACCCTCCTTGCAACGTCTACAATCTGCATGTATTTATGTATGCTATATTTTTATCTTTTCTTCACATGACATGACCGGACTTTTTTGTTTTGTTTTCTGACTAACTGTTGTCACTTGGCAGGTGACGTGGATCATCACCTACTCGGGGCTTCACTATGGCTGACTTCATGAAATGTTCCGAAATGCGGAACTGCTTATTTCTATGAAGTTCAGCGTACGCTTATGAGGGCGTGCGAGTGCAACCTTGTGTTCAAGAAATGTGCTATATCTAATCCTTCTTTACATTGCGCTGCTTGTTTCGGGTTATTGCTCTTTAGGTACCAGTTGATCTGCGTTTTGTTTTTATAAGTTGGCACTGAAGTGTAAAATGCAAGTTTTATCAGCAGTGTTTTACGCTTATATCGATTTGTAAATAGATGCAACGTATGCGGAGCACAATTTTCCGTTCTTCGTCATTTTGTGGGAATTACATTATCTATTGTGTTCCCTGAAAATAATGGTTAATTTAAATACAATTAGTATACTGTTCCCTTATCTCGCTGCCATGCCTGGCTCGCTTTCGTTTTCGTTTCGTTTCGTGTACTGTTGAGACCATCCACACCGTGGCTATTCGAGTCTCCCGTCATACATGTTGTAAAAGCAAAGTGAGGCTAAAATAGCGATAAGTTGTTCATACACATAATACCACACTACACACGATAAAACATATACTGCGATAAAAACATAATAAGATAAGTGAGATGAGAAGTGATACATTCCCTTACTGCCAGTCTGAAAGCACGGGAGGTCGGCGCGTCGCGGGCGGCGCGCGGCAGACCATTCTAGGCGACCGCCGCACGGTAAGTAAAGGCCTTCTGGCTCGAGGCCAGCCTGCAGCGCTGCAGTTGCAGGTCGCCGCCCTCCGAGCCGCGGGTGTCCCGGGTCGACACAGCGCTGCGGGGCACCAGGAGCTCCTGCACGCTGGATGGCGCGTCGTCCGCCCGCAGCAACCCCCACACCTTTGCGACGTCCCGGTGCGCCGGTCACAGGACAATTTGCCGAACTGCGTTTTGCCGAATGCTTATTCGCCGAATGTCAATATGTCGAATGCATTTTGCCGACGTGTCATTTTGCCGACGTGTCAAAAAGGCGAAGTGCGAAAAGTCGAAATATAATTTGCCGATATGCCTTTTTGCCGACGTGCAATAAGTCGAAAATGTCAACTTGCCGAAATGCTAATTTGCCGAAATGTCAATTAATCGAAATGTCAATTTGCCGAAAAGTCAAGTAGTCGAAATGTCAATTCGCTGAAAAGCTAATTTGCCGAATGTAAATTTGCCGAAATGTCAATTAGTCAAAATGTCAATTTACCGAAAAATCAATTAGTCCAAATTTCAATTTGCCGAAATGCCAATTAGCCGAAATTAGCCTAATCTAACCTAACCTAACAATTAACATCACCCGTAAGTATTAACTTTAGGACCGACCCACTTTTCAAAGGAAAATTTTACACATTCTTCCATTTTTTGAGCTCCTAAATCCTGATATGATACCTACTTACAAGTTCTATGTCACCAAAATATAAGAAAAACATAGCCAAACCTTACCTAACCTGACCTACTGATTTTTGCCTACCCGTGTATAAGGAAAAAGTTACACTTGAATAGATTGCAGACAATGATGAGTCATATATTTTTAGGTTAACCCTCGCCCCGTTGGGGGGGGGGGCATTTTGGCCCCCCCTGTTGTTTTTCCTGAATAGAAAGAAAACTGCGGCGCGCAGCGCCGCCAAATTTTCAGTACCTTCCCGGGCATCAATTTGACACCTTCACACCAAATTTCAAGTCTTAGGTCACCTTAGGTCAGGAGTTATTGAGGTCAAACTGAGGTCATGTTCGAGCAAAAATGATCAAAAAACATGCAATCTTGAAACGCTCACCAAATTTACAGTTATCAAGCAATTTCAAAGTTCTTTATATGGTCTAGTAGGCAAAAAGCGGCGCTACAAAACTGCTATCTCGGATTTTCAAAATTTTGGGTTTTTGACAAAAAAAAATCAAAAAATTGTTTTTTTTGAAAAACTAAAAAAATCCAAAATTTTTCCGAATTTCGAAAAAAACCGGAATATATGTGATAGTCCCAGCGCTCTTCTATATACATACCAAATTTCAGATCGATATCTCGTTTTTTGGCCAAGTTATAGCGAAAAAAGTGTTCAAAAATGATGACGTCAAATTTTTGAACTCAATTTTTAGCGATTCTAGACCACGTACGGCAAAACAAAGACCACCATTGAACTCCCCGTGACGAGCTGCATCGATTCAATACCCATTTTATGCAAAACTATTAACTTTGAAATTTGACCTAATTTGACCTGACCTTGACCTGACCTTGACCTGAACTTGACCAAAACGTGACCTAAGCTGGCCCCAAAGGCTGCCTGACCCACATAATCGCATTTGTCATGTAAAATGGACCATAAAACATGTATCACACGAGTCACGACACTTTCATATTGTGACCCCCCCGTGACCTGACCTCTGTGACCTAACCTGGTATCAGTGACCTCAAATAGCAAAATATGTGTTTGAAGAATATTTCCCCATCGATGATTTTCAATGAAATGCATTTTACTCGATTTTACAACGCATTTCTTGACCTGACCTGTGACGTCATCGGTTTGACCTAGGTCAATAAAATTGGGTCACAAGGTAGTTCCTTGATAGGGCTATCCAACACCGTTTGCCGCTTGTCGCTAGGTTGCGTGGTTCTCGAGATCTTAGGGGGGGCAAAATGCCCCCCCCAACGGGGCGCGTTGCTCGGCGGAGCTCAACGGGGCGCGGGTTAAGTGGTTGTCAACCATGTTTACTGGGTGGGGCACTCAGAGTCGTCGGTGTGGGGCCCTCAAAAGTCACCGGTGAGTGGCCGTCCGATGCGCAGGTCCCGTCTGAGGCCGTCAGAGGCTAAGGCGTTGACCCCTCAGAGCCGCCGATATATGGCCTTAAAGGGACCCTCCCACCTTCAAAAAGTTTATGAATTGGCATGAAAGTGATGTCGCTCGGTTCAGAAAGAGCGGAAACGTTTATCTACCAAATTTCACCGAAAAAATATTCACCGGTTTTCAAGATATTATACTTTTACTTTTGTTTACTTTTCGGGATCTCCGCTGTTCCTAGCGACTTTATTTGGAAGCAATACGTGTAGTTTGGCAGCTGAAAAAGCGGCACTTGTTGCGCGCAAAGCAGCATATACCACCGCGTGCTACAAAACGTTTTAATCGAACATTTAAAAATCGTTAGATATCTGCGCTGACGTCACACATTCAGAGAGGTACTCCTATGCATTAGCCCCTCTGAATCAAAATGCTGCAATTTTGAAATTCAATATTTCCGATTTAAGGCATTTCTCGATGTTGTGAGTGCCGAAACCGGTAATTGTGAGCCAGCTGCCAGGGACCCCATTTTGGCTATCTCAACTCAAATCTAATGTTAAGGTGAGAGGGTCCCTTTAAGAAGCACTGGTTTCGGGACCTCATTCAGGGGTGCCGGTTGCACTCAAGAGGTGGCAGTGTGGGGCCCTCAGCTAGGCACCGCACAGTGTGGCCGAACACCAGTTTAGCGCGAATTTAATCCCAGCGACGCTCGGATCCACTGAAAACGGTTCTCTGGTTCCAAAACTGACACTTACCCCTCGCCGGACTTATTGGTTTTCAAAATACGCGCCGGCCGAAGGGGGGGGGGGGGTTGGTACGACCCCCGTCGCTGTTTCGCCCCTGATGGAGCTAGAGCCCCGCGGAAAAAAAAACGAGCGTGTGCGCCGTTACGAGACGCAGCGACTGGTATCCGATTTTAAGGTCAACCTGTGACCTCTGAGGTCAGGTCAAGTGACCCAGGCGTGGATTCATTTTGTATTAATAACTTCGCGAAAAAAATGCCGCAGAGCCGCAATTTTGGTATCATCATGTTCGCCTCACTAAGGCGCGTCGAATGATATAACTTTTTGTTCGGCTGAAGTTAACTTAAGGTGTTGACCGTGGGTCAAGGTCAGGTCAGAGTCCTCCAGATCACGAAGTTGGTTGAAGGAGGTCATGTTGCATATCATTCGATTCGGCAAGTCTTCCTGAGTCCATTGGTGGCTTTTTCGACTCGCTAGCTCAATTTAATCGGGAGTTATTGACGAAAAACTCTTATTACCCTAGTGACGTCATAAATGACGTCACGTAAGACCAACAATGCATAAGTGAAGCATCGGACCTTGCAAGGAGTGCATGAAATCACGACTTCGTGTGCTTGAGATAGTTTATTAGGCTGGAGCCTGTCCGGCCGCGCCGCCCCCGACCTTGGTCAGGTCACATAGGGCGGCCGACTAGACATGTTCAAAGCTGAGTTGACGGCAAATAGGCAAAAACTGGCAGCTGAAACTTGCTTGCTCATGTTCAGAAAGGTGCGGAGAGTTCAGCAATGCCCTATTCGTCTTATCCATTTTTATCCATTTTGACATTTTTCAACTTCTGTATTAAATGCTATCGTGAGAACGATACACATGCAGGGCTCTTGTTCTAACTCATTAAACTCAAAAACTATTCATTGAAAAGTTACTATGATAGCAGCAATAGCTTCATCATGAATTGTGCTATCCGGTGATATGCTATTTTCTCATATATCTTCTCGAAACTTCCGTAAAATTTACGTTGAAAACTGGACATATTTATCAGTACCATAGCCCGATTTTAGGAACCGGAGCGTGGGTCTACTTTCGGCAGGGATATAAGTCCTCAAATGGTAAAGTGGCTTAAAAATAAGTTTCTATCCGATAACTTCAGACAATTTCCTACCCACTGATAGGTATAAATAACAGTTTATCGAAAGTCGGGTTTTTGATTAAATTCGCGCTAATCTGGTATTCGGCAAGACCGCGCGGCGGCGGGATTCGAGCCCCCCAGTCGCCGACGTCGGCATGTTTACTGGGACAACACGCCAAAAGCAACAGCCGGTGATGGGATTCGAACCCATTGTCATTTGAACGCGAGGTTAGTGCGCTAGCCACTATACCACGCAGCCAGATAGAGAATTCAGTTTGTTTTGTTGGGTTATGCCCTTTCGGTCTGACAAGACCATTTCAGAGCCGGAAGGATGATTGGTCTTCTTGACGAGCACCCTGGGTCCAGTTCATATAGAGTCCCTGGTCCCATTGCTGTTACGTGACACTTATTGGAAAGGGCGACCCCACAATGGATTCATATAGCCACTCTTACACACCTGCACCAACGTTTCCCAAAGTGTCCCTTTGATTAGTGGCACTTTGGCAAAGTGACACTTGCCGACTGGCCTTTCTATATGAACTGGGCCCGGCCCTGGTGAGTTGCCGTGGCTGAGCCTGACCAAAGGATAGGCCGAGCAGCCCCCAAGCACTCACCGCACCCGGCTACGGGCGAGCTCGGCTTACGGGCAATCCCAAATGGGATAAAGTTTCCCGTCCAGTCCGGATCAGGGGGTTGCGGCGTGGAGGAAGATTTGAGTTTTCTGAGGATATTTTGAATACAGAAGCT